AGACAACATGGAGACAGCTTGGTTGAACTCAAATGTCAAACGAAACTAGACCAAAACGTAGAGGGTGTTTTATATCAAAACGATTGTAACCGACTCAAAGGATAAAAAGAAGGTGCTTGAAAACATGAATTTGCTGCCAACACTACATTGTTCTTCTTCTTCTTTCGGATCTCTTTCAGATATCCTACCTTCTCAGAGAACTGCAGATTTGCTCTCATGCCCAGCCTGTCCCAAACAAAGATTTAAGATTGACCTTAACAACTAAAGACCTATAATAGCTCTGCTTTTTGTTATCAGTAAGCCGATGGGGACGTTCACAAATCGAGAGCTTCTGGAGTATCTCGAACATCTCGGCTTGATTAGCGACCGACTGTATGGTTTCCAGCAGCAGTGATCCGCCGCAGAAGAAGAAGACTAACAGCGACATCTTGTTTGAGATGAGATCTGGAGGTTACCACTGCTGGGAGACGCAATAATCTGGTGCAGTTTAATGCTTTCATAACAGAAACCGTCCAAACCGCTCAACCGATTATAACAGATGACAGAGTTCTGCTAGATAGCCGTTCATTCCGGCTGTTTGTAGTCGTCAATCGCGACAACTGCTAGGAAAAAGCGAGGCTATCTTTTTAGGAAGTGATTTTCTCCACAGAACCTCCTTACTCTGTACAACGTCCACACAAGCCCTAGCTCGAGCACTGCTCACTTGTTTTGGGTACTGCCGCCTCCGCTACACTGCCAAGCTCGATGCTGTTCAAAAGAGGGATGTCCGACTGATCGGTAACATTTCTGTATCGGACGGTCTCGGGACACGCTCAATTTCCTTACCTCAAAGATTTGCAAGTATTTTCTAGATCGTAGCTCCGGTACCACTTTCAAGATTTCTTCTTGTTGTTGTGGAAAAACACCTCTAGGTAAAATTCCCCTTGAGGTTTTCCCAAAATCATTATTTTCTTTCTCATGTGATAAAGAACATATGTAGTGCGAAAATTTGCACCTAAAAGTGCGTGAAGCATTAATCATAGTACTTCCTTCCCTATTATTGTAAGTTGATAGAAAAACCAATGTAAAAGAATGGCCTTGCCTATGAAAAAATATATGACCACTCATTTTCGGCGCAGATTTGATTATGACAGGAGACTTCAATGATAGCACAAGTCAGAGAACTGGAGACAGTACAAGATTTTCTCATTATGTACAAAGTGATGTATCACATTCAAAGGAGTGTCCTATATTGAGAATGCAGTATAGTCTTCAGTAAAATACTCAGTATTTTCGTTGTCTATGTTCAAGTTGTGGACTCTGATGGACGTTCAGGATGAAGTTGCATGTTCCGCTCAAGTCAAGTGAACCGTCACATCTTTGTTTTTATTGCATGCGGTATATTACACCGTATGTCAATTAGCAATGCAAATGTGTAATAAGTATATTATATTGTAGAATTATTCAAAAGATCATCTCGCATGCATTATAGAACTCGTTTGGAGCACAACACAATTGAATCCGTTTTCCCACAGATAGGAATTATCGACCGGACGTGGCTTTGTAAGGTGCTAGCGCAATGTTGTGTGTTGGTCAGTGACGGAGTCAAAACGCACATTAAGGGTCGATGACACAAAAACTAATACATTCAAGGACTTTATATCGATTGTTAAGCATCCAATAATGATCTGAAGTATGTATTTTTATTTTTCATCCAGGTGAGTACTCCATGCAGAGGGGCTCGAGTACCTACCTATTTCAACACTTTCGACAGTATCATCTTATAGAAAATAGTTTTTTACACTTCATTAGTTTTGTATCATGATCTCCTACCTACACTACATCCAGAGATCTTGACTAACAAAAAATGTTAATAACAGCCAATTTACTTTTTCTATTGCTACTAATAAAGGATATCCAAGATTTGCGAGTTATGACATTAAACTCTTATGTACCCAAAAATAGTCAAACGAAATGACTCAGAAACAACTCTAATTTAAAGAAACTCTGATGATCTTCCATTGCATTACCCAAAAAGTACAGAAAAACCGCTTTCGTGATAAAGTTATTGTAGTAATATGAGTATTATAAGTTTTGTATGTAGTAAGGTTATTGAAAGGAATGATGGGTGTCCAAACATTCACATAGGAACAGCTTACTTCCAGTAGACTTTCAATTGCCGATAATATTTTTTTGGAGGCAAAATGTTTATATTTCCGCGAAATAATTTTCTTGGAAATCACTAAATTTAGTACCCGCGCAACTTCAAGTAGGTACTATATTCATAAAAGTCGGTCAGTGGAAGATCCGTAAAGAGCACGCTGGATTTGAAATACATGCCCCAGGAATAACCTTCCAATTTTAGTGTTCCAATACTTACTTTAAGGCAAATCACCCCCTTAGATGATCCAATCATTCAAGATCAACTACTCAAGAACGCATATAGCAACTGTGTAGAGATTTTTTTTGCATTTATTCATTGCAGCGACGACATTCCATTACGTTTTTTAATATCTACTCGTCATCATCATTATAATACGCAACGCTGTCATCAGTTAGTTCATAAAGGATTATCTTCGGCACAACTTAACCCCCGAGTTAACCCTCCTAAAAAAAAGTTAGCTACGAACGTGTATAACAAAAAATTAAATGGACGAATTTAGTCATACAGGCTCATACAATTAGAATTTGCATATTTAGCATGCTTTTCTGTGCACTTTTGTGGCTCTTTAGGTTTTGGCCCCCTGAGAAAATATGCTACTCCTCGCTCTTCAAAAAGTTTTGGAGGCAGGTACCGTTTCACATAAACTCATCTCTATAAGTATATGAACGTCAAAACTCAGATATACCCTTCTCCAACCTTTACAACCCCCCAATTTTTAAACCCTATAGAAATGGAGCAAACGTCTCGTTTTTTTTTTACCTTTTTTGGCCGAAGCTCCGCCGTCACTCGTGCTTGACGTAGTAGTTACATTTGTGGTAATTTCATCAAAATTTGATAAGTACTTTCCAAGTTAGAGCGCAGTCAAGGATTGACGGACCGACAGACTTAAGGAAATTTTTCGCGATTACAGTATTTCCCCACCAGTGGCGTGTTTCAAAAAAAAATATCTGCAAAAATGCCTCATTGAGAAAAACATTTCAATTTGGATTCAAGTCCCTGGCTGCCTACCTAAAAGTTGCTCTCTTATACGTTTGATATAAATGTAAAAGCCTACTATGGTTCCTATACTAAGATATTGATTGAACCCCTTTAAAAATATATTTACGCACGCTAATGGTAATGAAGGTGCGTCCATTTCAATGTCTCAGGTGTAGCAGCAACTACAGCAACAACCAAGTCTCGACGTTACACTCCAGTTGATTCTATAAAAGATTCGTTCCGCCACAGCGCTGCGCTGAAGACTTTGTTTTCAAGTTCCACTATAATATTCTTGACTGCTGTTTTTTTATGGTAGATGCAATGTTATTTCGGTATCATGCTTTTTCTATGACTTCTTCTATTTTGGTTGTATCGAATCGAGTATCTAGCATTACCATAACATATTAAGGTGTTTATAGTGTGCAATAGCGGTACTTCAGTAACTAACCAAAAAAACTTAACCATTCTGTTGTGCAGAGCAAAATATTAGGACAGCCTCTCCCAAAATCTCGATCGTGACACGCGTGGATTTTGAATGAGCCCAGAAACCATATTATCCGATTTTAATTGGTCACAGTTTTTACGATTTTGTAGTAGTTTAGGGACCTAACAAATCATTAGTTCATTCTTTGCTTTACGACTTTTTATTTTTTGAAAGTCAATTGAGATAAGTTAATTCGCACTTGTGCTTTATAAACAACGGAAAGCATAATCTATTATTCACCATGATTAAAGCTGCAATCCTTCATAATAGTATGTTTATCTTTGAAACAAATGGTTAGTTTATCAAAGGAGTCAAAACGATTTCAGATTTACTTTCTTCTACTTTATATTTCTCCTAAGACAGTCTACTAAACATATGTAATAAAGTAAATGCAAACATTTTTACATTTAAAATGGAAAGCTTTCTTGGGAAGGAACAACGTAGACTTAGAAGGGGGTCACAGAATAAATCATTGAAAAAAGAAGATAGCAGAACCTACTATCTTATTTGTCAATATCACGACGGCTTTTGATTGAGTCTCATAAGAACGAAACTATGAGGTACACTTAAAAGCAGAAGAATTCCTGACCATCTTATACAAATTGCGTCATGTATCTTCAAGGAATTTCTCAACAAATGCTTAAGTTGCTGAAAATTAATGCGAGCATCCGAAATATTAGTTTAATAAATGTTTCGCACTCGTCGATTCCAGTGGTAGATGGCGCTTCGCACTGTCTTCTTCTAATAAATGTATTTATATTATTCCGAATTGAGTGACATGGTTTCTCATGATGCATATGTCATATAACATCCAAGACATAATAACTCATTTTTCGTGATTACAGTACTTCCTCCGCCAGTGGGAAAACGCAACGCCATAATTTTCGACTAGGCAGTCAGAGACGGCGATTTAAAGGAGATTTACGTCAATCAAGGAATTCGACAAAGTTGCTGTTTTTCTCCGTTTTTATTCAATATTCAATTCATTCAATAATTATAATGATGACATAGACGAAAAGAAACCGTGCATAAAGGAATTCACTAGAATATCACTGAAACCTTTTTTTTTTTTTTTTTTTTTTTATATCGAAACAGCTTGCTGTTACTGCTGCCTCTTGGGCTTATTGTGCCTTGATGTCTGGATGCTGGATACACTGTGAAATTGTGGTTAAACAAACATGACTGAGCAGACAGAGCAAGAGTTTCTTAGCTGACCCACACAACCGTCGAACTGTGTGACCATTGAGCAGAAGCAGTAAGCAGATAATTTTGATTGGAAGTCTCGCAAAGTACAGCTGGTCAAGCAGGCATCTGAGATAGGTACCTACTCGAAGCGATAGGTTTTGAGATATATAGCTTCAGCTATATCTAGACGCTAACTTTGACACAACTTACCTGTTTTTGAAATGATCGCAGTCTTCTTTGTTGGGCAAGGACATGAGGTGGTGTTGCATTATCACCCCGTCCTCATCGCAAAGCACTTGCACCGGGGCGGAATAATGTGGGGGCGGTTGTTGTAAAGGGTCGTTGGTAGGAGGTTGCTGACCCCTTTCCAGAGTGCCCTCTGGAGTGTGCATCGTTATCTGCTACCTGCAACGAAATATAGAGTTGTGAGTGCCGTTGGGTAAATTGACTCGGTAATTTTCTTCCAAAAGTGCAACAAGTGCATCAAATACAATTCCCAAGAGCCAATGGCGGTACTTAACCATCGTTATTTTTGCTTCCCACGCTCCAGGAAATGAGATATGTTTTTTGGACGCTCCTTGACCCCTCTATAAGTTACAAAGTACCGGTCGTATTTGGTCGATGACAGAAGGTTACTACGGGGCTTGTAAATGTTTAATTTTTAGTGTCACTAAAATTCGTTCTATTATAAGAATCTTGTAATCTAGTAAGCATCTGTAGATATAACAATCATACATGATTTATGTTTAATTATAACTCTTCGCTACGCGTCTCAAGTTGCGATCCTCGGATAAAACAGGCATGCGGCGTGTACTTTACCAGGGGTTGGCCAAAATCCCAGCATCGTTAGGAATATTTGAGGCATTCCTTTTGCTTTGTTGTATCATAAGTAGGAACGTAGCATTTCCGTCCTAAAATAGTGTCTACCGAGGCTTACTTAATTCGAGCTACCTTCTGTCCAGAACAAAAGGTTGTAGATGTGTTGCATCTCTGTCGTATCATATTGTTCGTACATTTTTGAAACAAACGTGATTGGTTTATTTTTTATGGATTGAAATGTAGGACTGTAGAATTTTACGATATATGGTGTGTAAGTGAACATACCTAGTCAGATTTCGATTTCATTGCCGTCTTTTGAATAACCCTGACCAATTTTTTTGTTGTTTTTGTTAGACATGTTCACAGTCAGCTTTTTTCAGAGAGGGACTGACTTGTTGCAATGTCGTTTTGGCAGCTACTACTACACAGTGTTCTACGTATTATTCAGCCTCTTAAAAATATTTGTTAAGTAGATCTCACCTTTACTTGCTTTGGGTGTTTTAATCATAGTTCATATGCAGTTAGATTTGGAAATAATCCAAATATAATCTAATTGAGAACAACTGCGAGTGAAGTACAGATTCAACCCACTTGACGTTATTTTTTGTGGACCAAGAAATTACAGAAGATAGCCCTTACGGTGGAATGGGCGAATACCTGCTGTATGATAACTGCAGTCAATGGATAAACGTGCATGTCTGTCAGCTTCAGGTCTCAACCACAATCGGAGACACGTAAAAATTATACACATACCAAATGATACCTGAGGGAGTTTGTTTTGCAATAAACTATTGCGGCAATTACCGAAATCCCCACCGTCAGCGTCAAGTGGGCAACAATGCGGCAGACGTTTGGAAATTATTGATTATAAAAATTAGTTGGGCTGACACTTGGGAGCATTCCCGCTCACGGGGCAGGAGCCCTCGGGGCCTCTCTTTTGGCATCCTACCCTGCGCGGATATCGGCTATGCCTACAACGTCAACTAAATACCTATTTTCTATTATTTTATGTTCAACAGAGCCTTTACTTGTAAGTTCTTGCGAATTATTCATTTAAACCCTATTGCAGCGCCTAAGCGAGAGTCTGTTCAGCCCCGAGTAACTAATCAGCTAATCACAATCGTCAAAATATAACCTAAAATGGTAAGCAATAATGAAAATTCGAAAAAGAAGCCTTCGGTTATTTATCATCTAAAGGTTGAGGACCCGAATATTTTAATACAGATTCTATGTTTATATTGAACCAAAACCTACAGGCTATATTTACTTTTAAGATTGCTTTTATAGTGATTACTGTATTTCTATGAAACAGGAAATGTCATATGGGCTAGAAGTAGTAATGTGAACAGAGGCCAGGTGTGCTTTTGAGGGATTCAGGACTTCTGATTGAGTTAACATGTGGGCAGTATTATGATCTATGGCTTCATTAGCAAATGTTTCCGGTAACCGTCATACTGTATGTATGCAGTACAACATATTGCAAAATTTCGAATACCTACATTTCCGTCTTCAGTTGTCACTTACATTAAGATTTAACTTTATCATTTTGGATCATTCGTCTATGATATCCCAAAGCTTTTATCGAGTAATAGAAAACACATGTTTCTGGTTCCTTTAACGATGCAACCGATCTAGCTTGAGAAGATCTATTTAACTGCATATATCAGCTTCACCCTTAAGCCTACCAAAAATGTATTAATGATAGTACTGATCCGTTTAAATTTTATTATATATTATATAAATGTGCGTAGAATAAGCGTCATGGATGTATTGATTACAACTACGGCACACTATACATCTTCAATATGAGTTCATTGCTCTGTCCGATAGAAAATCATTCAATACCGAAAGTTTGCCAATCAAGGTCAACAGCTTCTTGAACAATATTTGAAACAAAGCTTAACAGGCATCGCTACGAATTGTGAAGAAAGGTCACAAGGCTGGATAAGTAAATATTTAAATGTTTATGACATTTATGTTTTTGTGGCACAGATATTAAAATGAAGCTTCACCTTCTGCTATTTACAACATTTACCTATAAGAAGAGAGTGGGCAAGGAAGCGCATTTTATGGTCCTGTATGCAATTGTTAAGTTCAGTTCAGACCATAATTGTTTTTACCATGAACTTTTCCTTTTGGAATTCTATTTATAATAAATTTTGTATCTTATGACAAAAAGCACATTCTGCTACGTGGGGCTTGGCACCAACATTATCGTCTTCAAGAAAATTGAAGAGGGCCCTTCTTGCCACAGTGCAGCAAAAGTTCTAAGACTGGGTAAGAAAGAACTACAAAAGGCGGCAGGATTTTTCGCTGCCCCCTGATTATTCAGAGCACACCTACAAAATAGGGTTCAAATGTATCATAGCCGTAGATGTGCAAAACGACAGAACAATATCGTTCTGCTGTTCCAGCCTGAGTAACAGAAGCACCATCTTCGTAATAAATATAGAAAGAGTAGTACATGGAGACAGTCGAAAAGGTTGCCAAGTCATTAAGAACTTGGAATGGGATATCATAAATTACGACTCTTATAACAGGTTATTACAGTTACAGAACTGAGGAGCTCGACAAACCTTATCGCCAAGCGGCAACTACTAGGGAACAGAAATTTAACTTCCTTGCAACTGGTAACTAAAAAATATCCCTATTATAGAATATACTGTTTGTAGTCAATAAGATTCATATTCTGAAGTATCAAAGACGAAATCAATTTTCCCATTACTATACATAGTAAGCGTCGTGTTCAATATCGTCTTAGCAGCGTAACAATTCCGAGGCCGCAACCCACATTCGCATACCGAGGTAAAGACTGGTAGAGCGACATTAAAAATCCATCAACCTGTCTAGCATCACGTTAAGAAAGATTATCTCTTGGCACTGGTTTTATCTCTACGCGAAGTGTAGAATGGGGGATCAAAATTTGATTTTTAAAGTAATGGATCTAACAGATATATAGTCAACGCCAAACAAAGTGGCGTGCACGTCATCACGATGAAAATTCCCCGACCTAATGCCTAGGTTTCTATCACAAACAATTGCTCTATTGCAGTTTCATATTAATGTGATATATAAATTGTAAAATGGTCATTACTCTCTTATTATGGTTAATAGTCATATAAACATTGTTATTAAAATATCACATAAGTTGCTTTCTGATAAATTTAGACGCATTATGCGAAATAAAACGTTTTGCAAACGCTCCAATCACTTATCGACATGTAAACGCACTAAACCGATTTCGCAGCGTTGATACATTGTCACCTTGAAACTTATTTAAACTGGGAACTGACATTTGTATTAATTTTGACACTGAATCAATTTGTGGCATTTCAAATCTTTATAAATCCTTTGGCCCCGCATACTGTAATTCAACAACTGTTTGTTTCACAACAAAATTATTCATTTTACGAGTAGATAAAGGCAATTTTGGTATATAAAGATGCCCAAACAGTTAAATAGTCGGTGTAAGGAACTCGTGGCCTCGTTAATGCACTACTTTGAGCAAGAAAGGGACAACAACGGGCCTTTGTTGCCTTTAAATGCTGTTCAAGAGGTAGGTTACTAATAATTATATGTAATGTATATTAATAATAGTGAAATTTTATTTCATTTTTTGTAGCGTGTTGCTGCTGCTTTAAAAATTAGTTTAAGGACAGTTAGTCGTATTTCCGAGGGTGTGAAAAGTGATGCAAATTTAGAATCGCCCAAGAAAAAGCGGAGTTATATTAAACGTGTAACCAACACAGCGACATTGGATACAAGTGCCATTCGAGAAGTGATCTATAATATGTATCACAAAAGTAAGATCTTTTATAATAACTTATCAGAAATTTGCATTAATTTGTTAACTAAATTATAATGTCATATTACACATGGTTTCAGAAGAACAAGTTACGATACAAACTTTATGGTCTCGATTAAGAGATAGGGCATTATTTGATGGTAGTGCCACGTCTTTAAGCGGTTGCTTAGAGATCTTGGATTTAAGTGGCTTAAGGACAATCCGCGACGAGGGCTCATGGAACTACCAAGTATAGCTTTGAAAAGGTTGGAATTTCTAAGGCAATACAATCAAGCCAAGGTTGAGGCCTTATACCAGTTTGTCTTCCTCGATGAAACTTGGATATTTCAAAATGGGACCATAGGTCGCTCTTGGCAAAATGGAAACCAAAAAAGCGTGAAAGCTATTAAAACAGATGGTAAAAGGTATGTACTTTTACACAATTTGCACTATAAAATTTAAAACTAATATATTTTAGATACATTATATTACATGCTGGAAATGAAAATGGGTTTATTGAGGGTAGTGAAGCGATATTTTCTTCGAAAACAAAATTGAGCGATTACCATGGAGAGATGAACCAGGACAATTTTTTGAAATGGTTTCAACATCAGTTATTAGAAAAATTGGAGAGTCCATCTATGATTATACTGGATAACGCCCCTTATCACAGCATGATATTGAACAAAGTGCCCAACAATGCATGGACAAAAAAAAATATCCAAGACTGGTTGACAAATCAAAACATACCATTTTTAAACACAATGTTTAAAACAGAGCTATTGAGTATTGTTGCTCGGTA